CGGTATATTTGATTCAACTTCTGGCTTCTTACTTGGTGGTTGTATTTCCAAGAAATTAAGCATTATTTGCAGTACCGCAAATGGTGCTTTTCACAGAATGAAAAACCACAGTAAACCTCACCATGCCTGCATTTGAGTGGTCCAGACAATGTCACTGCTTAGTTAGGCATAGTATTTTGTTTTAATTACAGCTCTCTGTATGTTGAACATTCAAATTTTGCTTTTAAAATAAAATTATCATTTTTTTTTTACATTGTATTAACAGCCATGATGGCACTGAAAAACGTCCTGTTATCATTCATCGTGCAATTCTGGGTTCAGTGGAAAGGATGATAGCTATATTGACTGAAAGTTATGGCGGTAAATGGTGAGTGACTGAATTCTCAGTTCAATTATTGAAAGGCACAAGGTATACTAAACAAATATACAGAAAGTCATTTTGATCGAATTACCAGATTTATAGAATGTAAATACTGTATCAGATGTTTCAATCATGGAATAACATATATTTAAAAATAAAAACATTTGTACATCTTTAGTGCCACTTTATGCAGATCTTGTATGACAGATTGCCTGTCATTTGTATTTTTGTCATATTTGTTGACTTGCTTTGACACCTGATATCAGATTTTTTCTTTTGGTGATGATAATTCCAATTCTCAATTTATTGAATATTTTTAGTAAAAAAATGCTATTTTCAATGACTTCTTGAAAATTACCAGTCCAATTGTTTTAATACTTGATATATAGGTACTTTAGGGTGACTTCTGTCAGATGTGTTAATTTTTAAGATGGTAACTCCAATTCTTAATTTGTAGCAAATATTTTTGTCATTTTTGGTAAAAAAAATATTATTGACTGCTTTTTAAGCAATCATGCTGGTAGTTATTAAATTCTGTAAATCGAGACATCTTGACTGATTCTCCATGACTTTTTAAAAATTTTCAAATAAAATATATCAAATCATAACCAGAATACTTTCTCTTGGTAATATGATGTATTTTGTTTTCTACATGTTTACTCTATTTACTGTTGTGTTATTGCAGGCCATTTTGGCTGTCTCCACGTCAAGCCATGGTTGTTCCTGTGGGGCCCACTGTGCATGACTTTGCGGAGGAGGTTAAAGATGAAATTTACAAAGCTGGCTTTTTGTGTGATGTAGATGTTGATCCAGGTGATACAATGAATAAAAAAATACGCAATGCACAATTGGCACAGTACAACTTCATTCTTGGTAAGTATTCTGCTTCTTTGTGATTTCTCTGTGTTATGTACAAGGCTAATATGACAATATTTGAAATATTCAAATTGATGATACTTGCAGAGTTTCAATCAATGTATGCGTTCCTTCTCATAATAAATGCAGCATGCTACTATTCATGGGATAAACACCATCCAAGTTTCATTGAATTACAATTACACAACTTTGTTTTCACACATTTTTTGAGATGTAAATTTATTCCTGTTTCCTGATCTTTGAGAGAAATTGCATAGCTCTCGTGAATAAATAGTGTCATTTCCCAAATGAACACACCCATAAATATTAATCATGAACAGTCTATGTGTGTCAGACAGCGATGTGTTGAGTGAATAATTGTATTATAATAATTTATGCATGGATTTCCTAATTGCTTTTTTTTTACTCTCCAGTTGTTGGTGAGAAAGAAAAGACCAACAAAACTGTCAATGTGCGTACTAGAGACAACAAAGTGCATGGTGAACACTCAGTATCTGCAATTATCGACCGTTTCCATCATTTACGTGACAACAAGCAGTTAGACAGTGAAGAAAGTTTTTAAAACCTCAAGTTGTTGCCATTTCACATAATGCATCTACAAAACCATTCATGTCTTTCTGTAGATCAATCTGTGCAAAATTACAATTTTCTTATGCAGTCGAAAGAATTGTCTTTCACAATAATGCAACAAAAAATGGCAGCTAGAATTAAAGTAACCTACACTACTTGATCCTATAATTGTTATAGCGCCCTCAAATGACAGTACTCTGAAATCATGTTCATATTAGATTGGAACAGCAGCGTCTAACAAGTTATCTTTTCAGCAACTTTTTCATTTAACAGTATGTACATTTCTAATGCAAGCTTAAACCATTTTGGACCTTATATTTTGAATCATTTGTAAACAGTAGATTCTATAAGTGTTAGATTATGATCATTCGACTCTCTTATTCAGTCAGACTTCGCATACAAAATGGTTTACTCTCGATTCCATCCCATAATAGTGTTTAGTGCATGTAAATTTAAAACTTGTGTTGTAATTTATTTTCAAGACCATTAGAAACTTGATTTTAGCCCCACAAGTTTGTTCTTTTAGTAAAAATAATGGCCGTTGGTGATCTATAAATTGTGTGCAACATTTTAGTTACATTTGTACATTTTTCACACACTCAAGTAAATCAAAAAATAAATTTATGAACAAATAAATTACCCACTTCCAAATATATTTATGTGGAAATATCAAATTCAGTCAAAAATATTGAAACAATCTTTATCTGCTATCGACTTATAGCTTATACTATGTACTGTGGCACATGTAGCAAAACAGGATTGCACTCCATTGATATTTGGTCATAAAAATTCCACTGGAGTTGCATGGAAATTGTAGAAATCATTAATTTCAATAACTGCAAATCTACAAAATTGGCCAATCGGGAACACAAATACATTATTGTATGGATAATTTATAAATTTCGGAATGAGGAAAACAGCAGTGCCAAGTAATTCTGAAGATAGACACAGTTACTGAATAGCTATGAGAAGGACATGTCCTAAGAAAGAAAATTTTTTTTTAGTGATGAATGTTAAGGATCAAAACTATCTACATTAATATCACAATGATTTAGACCTGATGTAACACAAGATTCGGGTAGCATCAACTTAGCATTTGGATTTGAACTTGACACGCATTGACAATGAACTGTTCTGTATTCTAGATGGCATCTAGGGAAAAACAAATTTTGTGAAAATAAATCTCTTGAATTCTAAAATTGTTCTCTCGCCAAAACAAGTTTTTACAGTAGTGTCACAATGATACATTATTTCATATTTCTGTAAATCGTCTCACAATATTAATAAACTTACAACTTCAACTCAAGATGTTATTTTGTCAATTCGGTTGTTTTTTCTTCATATCTCCCATGCTCCACATGTGACAAACTGGTGTAACCAGTCAAACACCATCTCAATGTGTATGGAGACCAAATACTGCAGGCATAATTTTTACCACAAGTCAAATTTATCCTTTTCATTTGATACCAGATTTATAAGATTTAAAATATCTTTTCATTCTATAGTTTCTAAATTGGCTCAAAATTTTAGAAACTCTGGCATCATCACAACATTATCCACATACTAATTCTTTGACAAATAATACAAATTTTATTGGAGTTGTGCAATATTACATAGCTGAAAAATTAAATGTTTCATGAATTTACAGAAAAATACTGTATTCCTATATTTCATTTCTGTTGTGCGAGTTTGTTTACCCTCTTATTGTGTAGTTATCTTGTTTTTCTGTTAATGGAAAGCTTAATTTCCCCCAGTGGCACCATGTCATGTTTTATATGGTTTCCAAGCACCCTTTATATTGACTAAATTCAAAATATGGACAGATCTCTTCAAACAGTAGATGTTCACAAAATATCTTCAGAATCTTGTAAACATTTTGGATAATACCTCAACTTTACCTCCAAATAGAAAATTAGACCTTTTTTTTTCTCTTTATCTGAACCGAATTTTCACTCCAAGTTTTAGCTTATCGTTTTTGTAAATAATTACATTTAAAAGAAGTTTCGGCATAGACTTTTTTAGATGTGACCACACAATATTTTCTACATAGATAAAAATACAATCCATGAGTCATGAGTCTTAACTTTACAAACAGGATTCTAAAGCCTGAGAATAGGGCATATATTTCTGAATTCTAAATAAAATAGAAAAATACACTACATTGACTAGATTCAATTCGTAATTTTTATATATTTTTTTTAACGGAATGAATGAATGGTCACCTGAAATTAACTGAATATTTTTACGGTAATAGTTGTTTATCTGAAAATCACAATTGTTGACATTCAAAACTGACCCTAAATGACATTTCCTTCATACAATAAAAATACACTGAAATATGTTCTGTTTTGAAAATATATTGCTATATTTACGTAGTAAAGCATTTTACCACCCTGATGTTAGGGAAATAAAATTACAATGCTTTTCACTTTCCATAAAATGATTACAGCAACACCAGACTGCCTATGCAATGACAGACACTCCATCATGAAGTAAAATACTGGAATTTTGTTATAAGATTAAACACCAATATACCATTATGTTATAATTGCGTAATGCCAAACAGTTTTAATCGGTATCTGCCTATCCATTACATGCAATGCAGTATGGCTTCACTTCGAATAATGTCAAATCACCAAATCAATGTGCACCCTCTAGAGACAACATGACGTAGATGGTTATAAATAATGTAGTTCAAAACGTTGGCTGTACAGTCATTCGTATTTTGAATAATGTAACTAAAAAATGTTATTTTTTGTTTCGCCCATATACGTCACAGCGGTGCTTTGTCGCTAGGGGGCGCAACTTATAGGACAGGCGTATATTGATGACTAGACTGGCAAAGTCGGTACTTCTTTTTTGTTTTACAAAAAAAAATATAATTAATTGCCAATTTAGCCTTTTTAACGCGATCGCGAAAACTGGCGTGACTGCGAAAGAAATTCTTTAGCAGTCAGGTTAGTTTTCGCGATCACGCTAAAAGGACAAAAAAAAATCCCGACTTTGCCAGTCAAATTGATGACTTTACAGTGCAAGTTTTCCGTTCACAATGTCAGCATACACTGAACTAACTAAGGGTTTAAATGTCTTCTTCTCAACGTGTATAGCGTACATTGGCTCATCAACAACGTTGGGGTCAAATCCACCTTTCACCAGTTCAAGTTTAGAGTATTTGAAGGTACCAGTCGTAACCAAATTATCCTGGATCCGAAGGAATTTCGGGCATGCATAAAGGGGCAAATATGTTCTGAGGTGAGCGTAAAATTCTTGGAAATCAAAACTCTGTTCATCTTCAAGTACAACTGCAGCCATTCCCGCTCGTCCGTCACATCCTGTATACGTTGAAGAATTTAAAAAAAATGTATATACCATAAAATTTAATTTCAATTTTATATTCACACTTATATCTTGTATATCATCGGGGAAGTCTGTGGTAAAAATTCTATATTGAGTAATATTTGAATCTAAAAAGTGCAAAAGTGAAATTATAGGTCATGTAAAAAAAAACGGTATGAGGTATGTGTTCATGTGGAGAGACTGCAAAATGTATGTGATGATGTATGTGATCAGGGACTGTGATATGATCGTATCAAAAAGGACGCAAATTTGTACATATTTGTGATTTTGTCAGAGAAAACGCTAACATGTGCCACGGTGATCATGTATGTGACCATGTGGCAGAGAATGCAAAATACATGATGTATTTACTATAATTTATTTCCTAATATTCACATCGACAAACAGTCGAAAACTCATAAATGTTATGCGTTTGAATGAATAATCCAGCGATTTGTAAGAATGGCAAACAATCACTAACACCCCTGATTTTTTTTGTTTTTATCTTCAGTTTTAAATTGAAGTTAAATGTAAACAGATCATGCGTTGGTTTAAGGTCGGTCGTATTTCATAATTTGGGTTATTAAAGGGCGGCAGTCGTCGCACCGCGTTCTGTTCGATATGGGACTCATACATAGCTACGTATACAACGCATGTAAAATACATTGTTTATTTACATGAAATTCGAACACGCGCTGCGCGACGACCACCGCGCTTTAAGATGTATGCCTGCGTTCATACCTGGTACTGATACTCCATATACGGTAGATTCACGAATTCCAGGAAATCGACAAATTATTTGTTCCACTTCAGTCGTAGCTACGTTCTCTCCCTTCCACCTATCGATAAATCATGTTTTAGGTAAATCGCAACTTATTGTAATAAAGTAATATTAGTTGTTGTTGCCAATTTTAATCAGATTTATTCTGAATCAAACACAACTGTACAATTCACAATTAATCAGTTGAAGATAAAAAAACACCCATTTGTTTGTAATGATACTAAGATGGCGGTCTATATTTCTAATCTAATCAAATTCTGGCAACAATTTAATCAACTATGTATTTATTTATTTCTGTAAAGAAGCAATAAATAAAAGAAATCGCACATGTCATCAATCAACAATCGGGAGGGGGGGGGGGGTTGACAAACCTGAATGTGTCCCCAAGACGGTCCATAAAATAAAAGTAGTAGTCTTTATCCAACGCGAAAATGTCCCCGCTATTAAAGTAAACGTCGCCATCTTTAAATGCATTCCTTATTCTTTTCGCATCTGAGAGACTTTCTTTGCCCGCATAGCCATCGAAAGGATTGTTGGTAGTTATTTGCACGATCAATAAACCCGGCTGACCTTGAAACAAAGACAATATACGGTAATGTCGGTTTAAATAACAAGTTGCACTCCGAGATCATTCAAATTGCTTTATGATGGAGTGTTGCGTCTATCATGAAGTGCGTTTTAGCGATGGCATGAATATGCGCGATCGCAAAACTCCGACCAAGCGATCACAAAACCTAGTTTGGACCAAGAGATCTCAACATTCAGATCAAGTGATCGCACCATACAGAGCAAAAATCACGACATTCAAAAGATCGAAACATTCGAGCCAAAGGGATATTAACATTCATATCAAGTGATCGCACCATTCATATCAAGTGATCGCACCATTCATATCAAGTGATCGCACCATTCATATCAAGTGATCGCACCATTCATCAAGTGATCGCACCATTCATATCAAGTGATCGCACCATTCAGATCAAGTGATCGCACCATTCATATCAAGTGATCGCACCATTCATATCAAGTGATCGCACCATTCAGATCAAGTGATCGCACCATTCATATCAAGTGATCGCACCATTCATATCAAGTGATCGCACCATTCATATCAAGTGATCGCACCATTCAGAGCAAAAATTACGATATTCAAGAGATCGAAACATTCGAGCCAAAGTGATAGCAACATTCAGACCAAGCGAGCGCAATATTCAAGCTCAAACAAAGCGGTCACAATATCCAAGTTAAGATTTTCCTCGCAGAACATGAAACAATACACCACAGTCCCTCTACCCCGTTGGCTGTGAACACATAATCCCAAGACCTGGGATTGATATCCGAGTACTACCTTTATATCGCATGTAGTACAACGGCATCTCGTTATTTCAACTACTGTAACAAGCGTTTTTCTTAATAGTGATAAAACTGCAATAATATTAATGATATTTTGTATAAATACTAGTGTACCCACTTTATTTGGTTACTCAAGAAATCGGACGACACTGCTGTTATGTTAACACATTTTATTCATGATGCACATCCGTGTCTGGATTTATATCTCAGTGCGCATGCCTCATTGTTTACAAGCACGTATTACAATGTATTTGTAACAAGAAAGTTCGCACGAAAACTGCTTTTTACACCCGCGATTGTACTATATGGGCGGGCAGAATAATTTAAAATGGGCATTGAAAAAATATTGAAAAATAAGTGTAAACTAAAAGTTACTGATACATATATATGTGAATTGATTTCTTCTTGGATTTCAAATCATTAAACCTTAATCCATTTCAATAAAAAAAACATTGCTCAACTTTTACGATAAGGATTTTTTGTCTGATTTGATTAGCTAGTTTTGCTCACCGAATTTATCTCTTCGCTTATCCAACCTCACTTTGAAGCAGCAATCGGATGTCTAACATGATTCAATTAGTCTATTAAACAAACAACAAAACAACTTACACTTGAAGAGTTACACTTGTTGACCAAAATTCGGCACATGCCGAGATTTGTATTTTCGACGAATGAGGGCGTAATTCGGTACGATCCGAGGGGGTCCCAACGTGGGTCTCGACACGGTTACTAACACGATAGTAACCGTGGTTCTGACTAACGTGAACGCTACTGCTGTAATCCCCTCCAAACATGAATAATTAAAAATTTCGGCACGTGCCAAGATCCCGTAACGTGAACGTCGTAATTGACATACCTTGTTCAACGGGAATACACCTTCCATTCATATCGCGAACCGGTTCTGCTTTATCAAAGTAATACTTCACCAGTTCAAACTTAAATAGTTTCTAAACAAATGAAACAAATATGCAAATTAATTAAATAAATGTTCGCAGTTACTTTTTCGATGACATTAGGAACAATAGTTTGAACACAATGACATTGACATTAGCACATCCTAAACATCGGAATAAAAGAAAGGAAGAGTCTTCACTTTTCAAGTTACTTTTCAATGCATTTTCAATATTACTATGACTTCTATCCTATTTTAAAAACTATGCACTTAAACTGATAAAATTATGGATGATCTTTTACTTTGAAATCTCCAAAATATTAACTCTATAATTCAAAACTGTTCAAACTCGCCGTTCGTCATATTCAAAAAAGAATTTGAAATTTAACGATACAAACCTTTAAAAAGGGAGAGAATCGTCCGCAAGCGCCAACCTTATTATCGGCATTGTAGCCAAACAAATTACCGTCAGTAGCTCCATAAAATTCACCAAGTAGCGGTATTCCAAATCGCTTGGCAAACCTTATCCATACGTCTGGCCGAAGACCATTACCGATTGCAATCCTGACGCGGTTCTTCGCATCATCAACATGCTTCAACAGACAAAATATTTTCACGATCAGTAATACAACTATTTTACTTTCATATAAGACTTGCTTACTATACATGTCGTTTTGTTTGCTTTGTTGAAAGGGCGGCAGTCGTCGTGCCGCGTCCTGTTCGATATGGGACTCATAGCGACGTATACTAGTACAACGCGTGTAAAATACATGTTTATTTACATGAAATTCGACCACCGCGCTTGAAAATAAAGAAATAGTTAAATACAAAGCGAAAAAAATCATTCCAACTTGCAATTCGATCACTTCACCACATCTTATTTTTTATTACCAAACAAAAAATAATTGACGCAATAATATGATATTCAGCTATCGAAAGTATATGATGTCAAAGATGTCGGATCCTGGAATTCGCTGTCGCGGAGGTCAAGTATGAAAGCAAGACAAGACTATACAATACGATATGCCATTCAGGATTGACAGTCAATGGCGCCCAGAAATGTGTTGCGTCAGACTCAATTGGCCAATTATACAATTCACTTACATAGTCTAAAAAAGAAAACTTAATATAGTCCCATGCACTGTTTGTAAATTCATTTATTCAGGTATAACACTGCTTTAGTGTTCATGTAAAATAAATAACATACCTTTGGTTGTGCTAACAGATATCGACACAACTCCCCGATGTAATAAATAACGGTGACGTCATGTTTTCGAACGTCACGCCAAAACCCAGAAGCCGAGAACTTTGGCGCCAGAACAATAGTCGCACCTGAAACAATACCAATTTTTAAATTGTCAGATGGAGTTAAAGTTAGAGGAATTTAGCAAACTAGTATTTCATAGAGCCACGTGGATGTATCACGCAAAGCATATGGAGTAAAATTCTTACACATTTACTCTGAGTAGGTTACCACCACACTGGATTACACACAAGACCAAACAGTTTTTGTGAATATTCTGGGTGACGAGCATGGTGCACGTTTTTGTTTCGTATTTTTTTAGTAGAATTATACCAACCCAGCTATTGTAAAAATAATACTGGATCAATGGAAAAGTTGATATGCAAGTGTACAGTTTATTTCATGAAGACATTAAAATATTTTATTGAAATTTATAAAATGTTAACCCTGGAAGACCCTCACACTTCAATTCCAAAACATGCGCTTTCATTGACAATGGACGCTACATGTATTCGGTAACGCCCATTACCCATGATTACTGCCATGCACCCGCCCACGAATTGTGATTGGCCAAGTATGAAATTTATAAAACATTTACTGTAATTTAGGCGGAAACGAGAACAATCGTGAGCAGCGTGTTCTTTTGAACTGACGCGCGCTTTGACAAAAAACAACTCATTTTTTGCTTAACAATTCTAAATCTGTAGCGATTTGGTGTTCTCGTCACTTCAATCTGAATCAGCCAACATCATAGCGTTCACTCCGAAACGACGGACATGTTCTACTGTCATTTTCATCTCACCTCCTACCCCTTACCACCTCCTGCAACGCCATCATGTTCGGCTCCTGGTTGCAGGTTGATAACACTTTTTTGTTTATTTTAAAGCGGGGGAGTCGTCATCTGCGCATGCGCCAGATGGCCATAGCGTGTCATTGTTACAAACAAGCGTCTGCCTATGAGCCTTTGCGTTTTTAGCGTGTATTGTTATCGTCGCTTGGGACTCAATTCTCGCGCGTGCGCAGGTGACGACGCTCCCGCTTTAATGTTATATAATGGGTTGAATACAGAAATTGTAAAACCGTACAAAAGTGCGCACATTTCACAGTTTTATAGAAGATATTTGACTTACCCGTCCGGATTGCACATGTCCAGCTGAGTGTGGCCGACGAATGGTAAAGGGGAAGTGTAATGTAGCATACGTCATCTGCGTTCACATCGAATAAACCAAAAATAAGTGCCATTCCAAGATGTCGATAGTAAGTAATTTTAGACGCTTTAGGCAACCCTGTAATATAATCAGAAAGCGTCCAATTATTTATCACTAATGCGACTTATTTCCTCATATCCCATTTATTCTTTAATCTTCATTCGGAGAAAATAAATATAGATTCATCTAAATAAATAGATACTATCAATAAATCAAAAGTAAATAAGAATTTAGTGGGTATGAAAATTATTTATAAGAACTTAGTGGGCATGAATTGTATTCATAAGAACTAAGTGGCTACACTGCATAACCAACTTGTAGATATGTATGACGCGACAAGCCGACCACTCTGACATTGAATTCCTGGTAGATCAAAATACAAAATCTTGGGCTTGAGTTTGAAACCAATTAAGTGATATAATTCTATTACTTTGTAAAATGGCTGCCTTGAATTGGCCAATGGGCGTAACCTGGTTATGGCGTGGTTCACGAGATCAAAGGACCAATTATGAGACAAACTGACTGCCAATTAAGTTACGCGTATTCAATAAAACGATTTGATTGGCAGAAACTCCCCAATTCGTGACACGTGATACGCGATTCGTGCTCGTGGATGGTATGCCGTAATTATCACGTGACTATGATTTAACACGCACGTAACTTCTAAATTTCATCTTTTCTATATTATATAATAATATATAATATAATAGATAACAGTAATGATTTTGTATCTGCATGTCTCGCACGTGGGTATTATCTCGATAAAGTCAATGAAATGTGAGGGGGAAATTCTTCTCTCTCTGGGGTTCTCCACACTTGCCAGGGGGGAATCTCGTCTCGTCTCTCTATCGCGTCCCCTTGAGGTACAGGATCGGGAAAGTCACTTAAACTTTACAGACAAATAAGACACACACAACGAAATACGGTTCAACTCTCGTCTTAGTCGGTCAGTCGAGCACTCTATAAGACACAGCACCCTGGGGAAAAGTCCCCAAGACTATCGCAAGGTTGGCCAAAGACTAGCCCAAGACTGCGTCTTTCGTGGAGTTCTCTCTCTCTCCCACTGAGACCAACGACTTAGACTGTTTATTTCTTATTAAAAACTTAACCAATTACAAAGCAGTAAAAAGACTCTAAGGCGTAACCTTCAATCATACAGCCAATCACACTAAGTACTGAATACGTCATATCTTTTGATTAATCGTTCACTACATTAATAACTACAAATACCAAACTGTCCGAATAGCGACGGTTATCTCGTAATTAGTTCCAAATCACTGAGCCAAGTTCCGTCCAGGATCTCAAATAGGCCGAAACGATGACAGACATAACACAGCAATTCGCTAATAATCAACTAAATAAGTCGGACAACAGATACGCAAAACAAATTCATGACAGAAACTACAGCCTCATTTATAATTTACCGGTAGTCCCAGATGTGTATATATAGGAACAAACGTCGCTTGGTTTAATATCTCGTCTCGTATATCTAGGAATTGGATCAGCAGGCGCATTTTCCACCGCAAAAGTGATGTCCTTGAATTCTTCGTTTTTGCAAGGTTGGCTACCGTGTGTCCATACTCTGATGCCATTCTCTTTCAGAAGGTTTGAAACTCCCTCTATGGCGTCTCGTAGTTCTTCGCCTGTATGATAAAGTATATGCGTTTCGCAGATTAGCGTATAATTGTTATCTATTTATTATGCAAGTTGGTCACAGGTTGGTATTCCATCCTTGCCATTGGTCAGTTATAGCATCACCTGATGTGACGTGTAAAATAAGTCTTACTGTTGTTATTTTCGGTTGTAACACCCACTAGCAGTAACATCAGATTGTATTTATTCCTAAACATTGTTTGGGAATATAATGTATGAACGCCCGAAATTTATATAATTCATTTAATATGTAGTATTACCATTAATTTATAATAAGGGCGACGGTCATCGCGGCGTGTTCTGTACCATATGGGACTCATAGCAACGTACACAACGCGTGTAAACACATTATTTACATGAAATTCAAAAATGGCCATTGTAAAGAGGAATTGTGCAATAGATATCGCAGGTTCGTGCACCTAACGAACGTACGGTTTGACAATCTCCGCAATAAATGCTGTAATACTATGAAAGAGGTCAGTGATACAAGGCCCACTCCGGATTCTAAACCAGAAACTCATTAACTCTCTATTATATGCAATCTAGATCGCAACGAGGTCACCTTTACAAATTAATACGCGGCAATACAATCCACGACCTCGCTGCAGCTGGTGATTTCTTGCATTAATGTGAGACAATCCGTTGTGTTACTGACCATAATGAACGTCTCAGTGTGTTGTTGAGAGGGTGCAGTTAGTCATAAAATAACGGGTGTCCCTGGTCCTGGATTCTGAGCGGTCATTTCAGCAGATGATAGAAATTAGAGAATACGTAGCATGTTTGTTTTTCAAATAACGTGTTCCCTGTTTGATCATAAGATATACATACCTTCTCCAACCATAATAAGTTTGGCATCGACAGAAGAAATGCACTTCATCAAACAGTCTCCCCGTAAGTTGTAATTCAACAGCGCACATTTGATGCCCAGCTTAACAAATCCCAGCCACATCCAAATGTACGCTGGCTCGTTGGACATGAAAATGCCAACGGTGTCACCCAATTTATACCCCTCCTTTGCCACCAAGTTAGCAAACTGGTTTGATCGGAGTTCAATGTCTGAGTACGTGTAAACACGGTCTTTGTGGATCAGACATGCTTTACCTGGCTGCCGTGTGACGGATTCGGAAAACACATCGACCGTAAACTGGTTCTTGCGAAGGTAGCGGGATCTTGGTAGAATTATTTTAAAAATCAAGGCATACAGTCTTGATATATCGAACAGTAGATACGGATAGTACTGTCTTATAATCACTATCGTGATGAATATAGTCGCTACAATGCTATACCCAACGTTATCATCCATGGTGTACACAAATGGTATCGCGTTAGCACTGGTCCACTTAGTCCGATGTCAACTTTAATATACATGTCATAGGTCATGGCATGATGTACACAAATAATCTCGGGTTAGCACTGGTCCACTTAGTACGAGGTCAACTTTAATATACAGGTCATACGTCATGGCATGATGTACGCAAATAATCTCGGGTTAGCACTGGTCCACTTAGTCCGATGTCAAGTTTAATATACAGGTCATAGGTCATGGCATGATGTACACAAATAATCTCGGGTTAGCACTGGTCCAGTCCAGTGGTGGGTGGGGATCTCAGCAGTCCAGGGCGCCACCTACGCCAACTTGTCAGGTTAAGGCTACGTCTGATTCAATTTTTGTGGGTTGTATTCAGAGAAGAAATATCACAAATAAATCATGCGCATGAAAGGATTAACACATTATTAAGTTTGGAAGTTGAGAAAAATAGTACACGATAAATACAATACTAATCGTAGAACAACTTACTGTAAAGGGGTTAATTATTCACTGGGTTTTTATTTTGCTTATTTCGCTGACTGCATGGGAAATGCGCTAAATTAAAACCCAGTGAATATGTCAAATTTAGCATAGAACACATTATCTAAATGATAAAGCCGTGAAATTAAAACCCACTGAATATTCCTGAAATGCTAAATCAGTGAAATTTAAACGCAGTGAAAATTATTTTAGTCATTTTACAGTACTTGAAATTCACTTCTGAAGTATTATAATGAATCAGTATAAAAATATAAAAAATACTTAATTTACCCCAGTCATCCCCTATATAATTGCAATGCAATGTGAATAACGTATTGGAGCATTGTTTGATATTTGATCTTGCTAAAACATTAGAGTTTCGTGTCATCGAATATTGCTGCCTTTTCAGTCTGCAAAGCCAAAGATTTATTTTGGGGAAAGATCTTAAATTACACTCAATACCTAAAACAATATTTAGGAAGTGCTGAACATTATTTTAAATTTATTGTTGTTACAGTGTTTGTCACAGCTGCCATTTTATGACAAATATATTTGTAGATGTGTTCTCTTACTTTCCAAATCTTAATCGGGCCGTTGTTACAGTATTAATATACAATATTGTACGAGTGATAAGTCCTACACTGCGCTCTATGACATTGCCTTTAGATAAAAAGGCGCTAATTGACATGTGTCTATCATATATTACAATAAATATGTCTGTAAAAATTATAAAATTTCAGGTACCAATAATTTGCATAATTCTACTTTTTATTTACTCGTAATCGTATGTACCTCACGCTGAGCTTTAACTGCAATATTTTGGTTTATGTAAACGCTATAAATTATCATAACGCCCGTATATTTTGTGTGAAGTACAAATGACTCATGTTACTATATTAATCCAACCATATGCTACCCCGGATCGGACACAGCTGCTGTATATAATATAATACCAAGTTAGTTTATCAAAACGTCGTTTCCTGTGACGCCATTTTGTTCACACCAGCCTAGTGGATAAGTGCTCAACAGTTTCAGCTACAAAATATTTAATCTCTGCTACAAGACACGACATTCCTGAAAAGCACGGAACCAATAACAGGTAGGGTTCTGCATAAATCTGAGATTTCAACCACTCTCAGTAGTTGCTTGTATGTGGCACCGTCCCTCAACACCGTCCCTCAACACGTTGTTGAGGGACGGTGTTGAGGGACGGTGTATGTGGTAACACGGCAGTGATGTGATTGTGTGACAATAGAGTCAGTTGGTAACTGCAAATGTTGATTACATCATAATACATGACGTCATCGTGACATTTCAGGCATGTACGTACTCACAGTTAGCACTACACGATGGTTAGTACCCAGGAATCTTTGAGATCTCCGTACTGTGGTCTCTTGTACGTCTTATGAAATCTCAAATGATGCATAGACACCGAAATAGGAAAACAAGTAACCAAGAATTGTTTTCAAATTGTTTAAATCACAATTACAGCATATAGTGTTATATTATCCATATTATGGTGCAATGCACATAACTATTAACCCAATATAATGCTTTACACATAAAATACGTATGCGTAGATATGTAAATGATGGGCATTAACATGATACTGTCGCTAGTTATGACCACGGAGGTAAAGCTGAAGACAGAAGGAGTTACAACATAGGTTCCATGATCATTTCCGCCGTTTACTCAGTGATTATAATGTTTGCTTGTTAATCTAGCAGCAAACAACAAATTATCGAATTAACATACTGTAGGACGGGGAACTTTCACGCAATGAAATTTCGCGTGAAAGAAAATTGCGTCTAATTCGCGTTTTCTTCGCAGACGAGTTATTTCAACTTTATTATTCAATGCCTGTTACTAATTCACGAGTGTTACACTTCCACTAGCCATCACACGTCCGAGGATTATCGCTATTGTTACTGCAGTTTACACTCAGCACGGCAACCATTTTGCCAAGTAAAAAATACGGAAAACAATTTAACGGTATTTAGACACTGTCATCATTCAGTATGTGACATCGTCACGCCAGAAGCTGCGGTTACCCGAAAAACAAAAAGCCCTGGCAATATTTGATGTATTCAGAGCAGAGTATTTTACCTCCATGTTTCAAATGATTTCTTCAAATAATTACAATTATAGTCAGACGCGCATATCAACTGACCCCCTGCAACGTCAGCTCTAAACAATGCACTAAAACACACAGAACGATCATACTCACATCTCGCGCAATAAACTTATTTCAAATTGAACCGGCTTGGCACGATAGTTAGACAAAAGGGGTACGTGCTGGTGACGGTGTGTCGTTGATAAATTCAATTTATATTTTGTACTTATAACTAGTAGCTTCGCGGTAAGTGGCTTTCGCGGTAAATGGGTTTCGTATTGGGTGGGTCTCGCGGGAAGTAGGGCTTTGTCGCAGTAACTGGTCCATTCATCGTTGTTGAGAATTAAAGTTTTATGTTTCTTTAACAACTTGCGCTATTCTGGGAATACCATCCTTAGAAGCTATTAATTTGCCCTTATGATTTGTGCAGTTGCTCTGGCAGGAGTTCCAAAATAAGACCCATGCTCTGATAATGCCCATAGTTTCAAAAACCAAGAAACATTATCATTATGATCTTATTGGTGTTGCAAAGGATAGTTGAATATTGTTTATTAAAATTAATAATCCCCATAACCGTTTTCCAATATAGATAAATTATAGTACGTAACAAATATATAACTCAGTCTCAACAATGAAATAAAGAAATGTATATATATATATATTTACATTATTACTAATGCATTGCAATACAACTAATTAAATTGAAAGAAATTGCAATATAAAATATTCCGTCAGTAACACTTCTCAAGGGCGTATTTCACGGTCAGTGTTATTTACGAAAATATTTGTTTATAATTTTATAAATTGGCTTGGCAATTTTAACCCCAATTAGATATAATGTGTACATATTTTAATAAATAAAATTAAAGATACACTAACAATGAAATATTAATTATTGCCAATTCGCTCCGCTAGGATTGTCCTTATACTTTTGTCGTTTTGTGTGTGTGTCTGTGTGTGTGATTTCCAGTGTTTTCACGTATTATTTCTTCTGTGATTTTTTTGGCTTGGCCGATTTTGCTCAAACTTGGCAGGTAGGTCACACCTTCACCCTAGTTATTAGTAAAAATCTGAAAAAAAATTGGCCCACCATTGCCATAGAAACAGCCAAAAAAACTGTTTTTTTGGATAGCTTCGCGCCAAATGTATCTCCTCCTACAAATTTGGGATAAAACACCTCAGACATAGCTCATTCCACTCAGCTTGAGTGTGGGCACAAAGTTACTATTTGAATTTTTGATATCTTTTTTCATTACCGAGAAATTTGACCCCAAAGTTGGGGTAACTTTTCACCAGCAACGGCTTTAAACTCCTCTGTGATTTTTTTGGCTCGGCTGATTTTGTTCATACTTCACAGGTAGGTCGTACCGTCACTAATTGAAAACAAATCCTGGCCCACCACTGCCATTGCAACAGCCAAAAACTGATTTTTGAATACTTTCGCCCCAAATATTTTGTAATAGCAGTGTTCAGATGATCATGCTTTTTATTTTGGCTCAGATGATCATGCTTTTTATTTTGGCTATGTTGCGCACTGGTAAGAGATCACCGACGCCGACGTTGTTACACTGTATCAACGTAATCCCAACGCAACTTTGAACTTTGAATGAACTGTAAATGCTGCCTTCATGCTAGAAATACTATCGCAAAACGGTTGGAAATAATAAATGTAACAGCAGAATACGTCCTAGTAATAAACTAAGCGACTTCTAAAGACTGAATGGCTTTTACGAACTTCGTATACAGGGCCCATTTAGTTATAAACTGACGTTAGCTTCACGTTCATGTCCTACCATGGAAACAGCCAAAAACATGTTGCTTGTTTTTTGAGCGGATCGGATTGTCAACCAGCCTACCGGCTTGTATAGACCATGTCCCGGACTGTTTACTAGTACTTACTTACTTGTCAGTGTCTGACTGTTATATACAGCCCAGAACACGTCAGAATAGTAAAATAAAAGTCAGGAAATGTCAATTGCCCGTGCCTTGAGAGCCGTTGAACCAAAACAATTTGTCACCCTTCGCCGCCCACAGCATCGATATGATTTTATATTGCATAGAAAAGAACACTAAATGCAGCTATCCCGGTCAGCAATCGAATCATCAATCTTCATGATTTATGCAACTGGTATTTCCATCTATTTGCTTAATGGTCTGAACTTTAAAATTGTCAAGTTCGGAGAGTGTGTTTTTACGTACAGTGACGCAAACATTCAACAACGTGTTGAACAGGAAGTCCATCTTGGGCTAGTGGCATTGTACAGGAAATGTTTCAGTAAGGAATTTTTATGCATATCAAAATCCTTTATTGGAACCAGAGGGTCTATGTTGGAACAGAACATGTTATGTATTCACCAAAAACAACGTTGCCATGTTTAATAGCAAACCGTTTAGTTCACAAATGACTAACTTCAAAATGGAACAAAATTCAAAATATGAA